TCCTTCTTTTGATATGTCTGATGTCAGACATATGTATGAGATGTTTTGATGTTTATCTGTCTGACATCAAATACAAAGTAAGCCATGTCTCCCCCATTCCCCCCACCCAAAATTGAAGAATAGCTAAGAATGATTTGGAAAAAATGAATTAAGGCATCACAACAGTTTGGATAATATTCAAAATTTGTTTATGCATAGAAAATTTATTTTAATTTACAAGGTACCTAAAGCAGAATAGATTCTTGGAATGGATTGAATCTGTTTCAAAGTATAATTCCATTTATTTATTTAAGAAATGTATATGGCTGCCCATCTGATACATGACACTTTTATGTGGTTCATGACAACAGCAAATAAAACATAAAGAGAAAACAACAGCCCCATAACTTACAAAGAAAACAATAAAGAAATACATTGTATTGACTATGATTCTGGCTACTCTTGCCTGGTTTAATAGTTACTCATATTTTTTTAACATGACATTATATACAATATATTTAACTATTTACAACCAATAAAATGATACTTTAAGACAGGTCTCCAACCTTTTGGACCGCAGGGACCACCAAACTCATAATTTTAAATCCCATGGACCAAAGACCCTGGAAAATCCCAAAAAAAGTCTGCAGGAAAATTCCCCATCCCGTTTTCCTACCGATTGATCATTCTTTATTTGAGATTGCAGGATACCATCTCCAGCTCTGTTCTCAGGGGAGAAAGAGAGAGAGAGAGAGAGACTTTTGGCTTCATGTAAGGAAAGCAGCAGAAGCAGCAGAAGTCTTTCTTTTTCTCCCCCAAATTCCACCAGAAATTAGCATTTGTGAGACTTGTGCATCCTCTTGGAGCAGGATGCCTTGCAGATTCCCAAAGACACATTTCTGGTGGAGTTTGGGGGAGAGAAAGAAAAACTTTTGCTGCTTTCCTTGCATGCAGCCAAAAGCAAAAGAAGAAAGAAGTGGAAAGAAGCAGCCCTGTGTCCAGGCGAGGTGTGTAGGGTGAGTGGGGCAAGTTTTCCCCCCCTCTGCCCTTTCCCCACTTCCCTCACTACCTCGTGTTGTTTGCAATACAAGTGATGCAAGCCTTGTATTCCTGAGAAGCTTGGATTAATTGCTTTGGGGGGTGCTTTGGGGGTGGTGGTGACATTTCTCTGCAGACCACCAAAATTTTCTCGCAGACCAGGAGTGGTCCCCAGCCCACTGGTTGGCAACTACTGTTTTAAGAAACTATAACCTCTATGACTTTTTAAAATCTCTGGTTCATTCATCTGTATTATATTCTTTTATTCTTTTTTCCATGTACAGTTTAGTACTTTTTTATGCATTTTTGCTAAAGTGTCCTGGTTTTTTTCAAACATTATTAAGTGACTTGGGCTTAAGATATTGCCTTGGTCCCAATTTAGCCCCTTACTTAAGTTAACTTAATGTCATCTTGCTGGTCTAGTTTCAAAGGAATTATTTAATTCTTCTCTGAAAATAATTCTAACTGGACATACTCTATAATTCTTTATCAATAATGCTTTACTGGGGCAAAGGTGTCTTCCTAAGATAAGGACATCTTCACTGTAGAACAGTGGTAGTCAATCTGGTCCTACCACCCACTAGTGGGCGTTCCAGCTTTCATGGTGGGCGGTAGGGGTTTTGTCCCCTACTTTATAAATCACAATTACTGTGGAACTGGTGGGTGTTAGAGAAAACTTTACTACTAACAGCGATACAAAAGTGGGAGGTAGGTATAAAAAGGTTGACTATCCCTGCTGTAGAGGAATTAGATGCTAATTAGTTGGCTGGAATTGATTGTGATCCTCATAGAAAAAAGATTGTTGAAAACTATGTTGATTTATGTTCTGCTGTAGAGGCATTGTAAAGCTCTAAAATCTCTGTTTGAAGGCCCCAGAAGAAGGAATCAAAGACTGAGAAGAAAGGAAAACAACAAAATGGAGACCAGATGGACAGGGATATATACTCCCAGATTGCTCACAGATGCTAATACCTCCACATTTGCCCACCAACAGAGTTTCATACACTAGTCATTCACAGAATACTGTAGATGTGTTCACTTCAGAGTGGGAGAGGAAGGAGACAGGTATTGATTGGCAGGAAGTACAAGACAAAAGGAATGCTCCAGGTCTCCTCATTAGGGCATTTTTGAGGTTCTTCTCGCCATTTAAATCTAATGACTACAAACAACTGATAACTGACCTAAGTGTGCTTTTTAAAAAGGCCACTAAACTTCCTTTGTTTTTTCTTGAAGACATTTCACTTCTCATCCAAGAAGCATCTAATTAAGCCATGTATATAAATAAATTGCATGTTTTCCTTTGGTATCTTGCATTTCTTTCTGTTTCTCCCCTTCTATACATTTAAATAGCAAACTACTTGAACCTGGTATTCTTTGGATATTCTTTTGTTTTAAAATATTTTTCTTTATTGTAAAGATGTGATATGGATCATTGTAAGGTTAGTTGAGATTTTGATAGGATTAATACATTATAATGGTAGACTATGCCAACTTTGTACAGATCAATATTGCCTACTGTTGTCATGTTACTGCTGTATCAGTTCCCTAGTCTGGAAAATATCGATGCCAGAAGTATCCTGTATATCATTTGGTTATTCAACAATTTTAACCCTTTATATGAAAGTAAAATATCTTAACAATCCAAAATAACTCAGATATTTTCATTATCACTCACATACCTACAATAGATGGTATAGACTCATGCCGATAACTGAAGGACTACTTAAATAAATTTATTTGTTTGATTTTTAATCCCACCTTTATTATTGTTTATAAATAACTCAAGGTGGAAAACATAACTAATACCCTTCTCCTATTTTCCCCACAACAAATCCGTGAGGTGGGCTGGGCTGAGAGAAAGTGACTGGGCCAAAGTAAATCAGCCAATTTTTCATGCTTAAATCGGGACTAGAATTCACACTCTCCTGGTTCCTAGGTTAAGCTACTGATCTTAACCATTAAGACCAGAGCACTGAGTTTCTTTATTGAATTGATTTGATGTTATGAACGTAGGACAAGATTCCTTCTAGGGGGTTTTCATACATAGGATTAAATGCAGAAAAAAACATTAAAACATTAAATAAAGATCTTAAATTTAAAAATTCAGTTAAAATCAAATTAAGTAGGATGAAGAGAGAGGATACAAAGTGAGCACAGAGAAGAGGTGGGGTGTTCTCTATTCCAATAGCCACCTCCAACATGCCAAAACCCCTTTAGGGCCCTAGGCTAATTGGCATGGTTATGTCTTCAGGGTCTTTTGTAAGGCCCAAAGGGTGGGTCAGATATGACCTTATGGAGCAAGATGTTTTAGAGGGCAGGAACCACATCAGAAAAGGTTTTTCTTCTGGACCTTGCCAGCCAAAATTCCTTAGTCAATGGAGCCACAGCATGCCCCTTCTGCTGGCTCAAGTAGGGTAGGCTAATCCCATTGGGATCAGCCAATTCTCAGATAGTTTGGATCCATGCCATAATTTGATTAGGTGCTGCTACTTGTGATTAAACTGTCTAAATTAATCCCCTTTTCATGCATATGGAAAGGTCAGTAGCAGCAGATTGTACCAACAATTTAGTTATACTTTCTCTGCTTGGCTGTTTTTCCTTTGCATTTTCATAAATCACTCGCATGAAAGGTTATGTCATTATGGTCCTAAAAATGTTCAGATATGGCCAAAAGATGGTGCTAAAGAAGCTGCAGGAAATTTTTTGTTTTTGTCTCGCTTGCACTTGTGTTATTGGTATCTCTCTTTCTTTGTGTATGTGCATGAATGGGTGTGTGGGAGGAGCTTTTAAATAAAAAATGAGTTTTGCATTTACACTAAGGCACTATAAATGTATACCATTTAATTTTAGCAGATAAGTAGTGCTTCTGTAAATAGATTAATTAGATATTACTCACTCCCTGGGATCCCTCAAAGTTAAATGTGATAAATGGAAAAGACATTCTCATGGGGTTGCATTAAATTTTGCAATTAGATTAGACTCTACTGCTAAACTTTCCTGTCCACTTTAGATGTCAAGTAGCAGAAATAAACTGGACCAATTATACAGATTGAAACAACATTATTTTTCTTCAACATGCTGATATATTGGATGCAGTTTAGGAGGTAAAGATTTGAATAAATTAAGATAATTTACAACATATGGGACAGGGGCATTATCTAGCACAGAGGTGGGGAATGATGCCCCCTTTATGACTTGTGAACTTCAACTCTCAGAATGGAGCATGGGTGGCTCAGGAATTCTGGGAATTAAAGTCCACAAGTCATAAAAGGTCGATTGTTCCCTGATCTAGCAGAAGAAATGTTTCATACGCATATTATTTTAGGTTCGATGTGAAATGGGAACAGCCTCTACCTAGAAGATTGCAATTTACAAAAATGCCATTATTTCATCATTTAACACTTTTTTTGGTTTTTATGGTATAAAGAAAGCACTGTCATTTTCTCACATCACAAAACATGAACTCATCCAAAGATATTGAACAATAGGGAATTTTGGATTGGTAAAGAATTTGTATAATACATAAACCATGGGATTTGCTACCATAAGTTATCATAATGATATCATCTTAGATGACATGAAAAGATGATTGGACCAATTCATATAAAATAAGTCTATCAAAGATCATTGTAAAACCTCCAGAAGCTGAGTTACTGGGGGGAAAAACCCAAGGTGGAATATCAGGTACCAAATTAAATTCCTATTTGGTCCAGTAAGACTCAGGGTGAAATGTGTGAATTATTGTTTGGAAGATGTGTCAGAATTGTTATTTTGATATCTGGTAGGTTCCCCCTCCCCAGATTAATGAGTTCTGTGTTTATAGATTTAACTTGTACTCTTGAAATGTTGTTAGACTGCTCTTGTCATGACTGGTAGACTAATGGCATGCCAAATGTAAGTTTTTATGGCTCTTATCTGTGGGGTTATGACCATTTGTCATTTTCAAAGAGATGAGGTCAAGACTAACTTGTCCTTAAAGACTGAATAGTGTATATCAATGTATATGAGAGTCTGCCATAAGAATTTGCTCATTTGTGTAAATCTGGTGTGGAGATATTGCTGGTTGGAAAACTACAGTATGCATTTAAAATTTCTTAGACTGGGTAAACAGAAAAAAAATATTTCAAATCAATTGTTCTATTGTGGCAGTTTAGGAGCTGAGATAGGGAGGTCACAATAATTTTGTGGCTGTTCCATCATTCATAACATTCTGATGGCTTTCTAGGAGGAATTGTTTTGTTGTTGTTATTGTTGCACACAGTGGCTGACCAGCTGCTTCTGGATTGGCTTGACAATGTGGCCAAGTTCTGCTGCCATTTTAATCCTCTGATGGCCATGGATGATTTATATATCAAGGACTTGTTGGAAGCTATTCACATTGAATACAATGTCATTTAGCCATTGAAGAACAAACATCAGAATTTTTGCAGACTTCACAGAAAGGTTGAGTTGTGTGGGATATAGAGATACTTGTTTCAGGAGGTTATCTCTGCTACCTTCCTGCTCCAGAGAGTGACTTGGACTGAAGGTTTGGAAGGACCATGAGAAGATCTATCTTGTTACTGGCTTTTGTGATTTACAAGGGAGCTCAGCATATACCTGCAAGGATTTTTCTCAGCTAAGATGCAAGCCCAGCTCGAGACTGTGTCCATGTGGCAAAGGAGCATTGAAATGATGGAACTTGTCACTTTGTATTGTTCCTCTTCCAAGAACTCATCAGAAATTATTATCTCCATTTTTCACAAAAACATCCTGCTTGTTCTGACTCAATCCTTATTTGTTTCTATGGTTTATTGTATTTATGGGCCCAGGTATGTGTCAGATTCTTTTGTTGTCTTTGACTGGCATTTTAAGGCCATAGGCCTGAGCCAAAAGGGGTGAGGCCAGTCAAAAGTTGGGAGCTCATACCAGGAGCTGCTAGTTTGTTGCCACTTTTGCTCCTCTATTTTATGTTAGTCTATGACTGGAATAAATATTGGATTGATTGAATCATCATATCTTTGCTTACCTTTTGCTTTGTTTTTCTGTCTTTAAGTTAGTTTCTGTCTTATGGTGACTACCTGGACAAACCTCTGCATTTTTCTTGGCAACATTTTCAGTTGTAGGTCACTGTTGCCTCCTTCGTAGGGCTGTGACTGGTGAAGACCATCTGGGTTGATGACTAAGGTGAGGCTAGAACATCTCCAGGTTTTGAGCCTTATGCCTTAATCACTACACTAAATTTGTTCTTGCTTTCATATCAGCTGAGCTGAATAAGAACAAAAGCTGCAGCTAAATATTTCTAGCAAAAAATATTGCCCACTTTGTACCCAGGAAAAGATTATTGATGGGTTTGAAGTATTGCTCTATACATCTACTTACAGCTGCCTAGTATCAGACTGGTTTTATTTCCCATAACCTGATCACTGGATTGAGATAAAGTAAATCAAGTTTTCAAACTGTTTACAACAAGGGAACATTTCAGCTTCAGTCTGTCTTCTAGATTGCTTGTTTAACGAATAGTGGAGTATTTCAAGGAACTGACTAAGTGCATTCTTCACTTGTACTGGATTTCAAGTGCATCTGGGGTATAACAAAATAGGAGTTAGAATGAAAGAAAAAAGATTTACCGAGTATCTGTTTCCAGTGAGAATTGGGTAATCATTCTTAGCTACTTGTTTTTGGACACATATTTGGACCAGGAGCTATTCCAGACTCTTGCCTGTATTCCAAGAGGCAACATTCATATATATGAATCATTGTTTATTCTTCTTTCAGTTTCTTAATTGACCATAGAAGACTCTGAGGTGCTTCTTCTGGATGAGAGAAATTGAACTAATCTACTCTCAACCCAATCCTGGTTAACTCATACCTTACCCATCCATTAAATAAATAGGGTCTTCTATTTAATCTTTTACCATTGAAATAGGCTCTTCTATTTAGGCTCTTCTAAATAGGCTCTTCTAGTTAATCTTTTACCATTAATCTTTTACCACTTGCACAGTTTCTATTACATGAAGAAGTGATGCTAAATTAGGTTAAAATTAAAATTTCTTGTCTGTTTCAGCCCAAGGATAATAATAAGTATGGAAAACTGCATTTAGTCCTTTAAATTAAAATGTACATCACATACCCAAGAGATCAAGTAAATATCTGCTTTGGGTCACATGGATGGAATGTTTTCTTTTCTGCTTCAGCAAACAATCCTTTTATGACTTATTTCTCATTTCTGCATTGCAGAGTAAACTCTGATGGTTATTTATGTTTTGTCTGCTGTACAAATATCCATCATTTTAGAAAGGTATCCACTATTGAATAAAGCTAGGCCAAAACAACTTTTTCATTAAAAAATGGAAGATTTAAAAAGTTCTACAACGTTCATACTGGACAATTTCATGCAGTTTCACCTCTTATTATAGATCCTATTGGTCTTTCGAAGACATATCTATTGAAATACTGTTAGATTTCCATGGAAGCAGGGAACTGAAAGAAAGAAACTGACTAAAGAAATGTCAGGTATTGAACAGCAGTTTGGGCAGATCTATAAATAAAAATAAATCTGCAACAAGAACAGTATTATACCCAATGAAAGTGTCATGAAACAAGCTCCCTTCAAGACAAATGGGATTGAGATCAAAGCTTTCTGACATAATGATTCAAGAATAAATTTTGAGATGACCCACTTGATACTGTTTGGTCTTCAGCTTAAATGAGGAAGACTTCCTCATTGAGACTTTTCCCCAAAGGTGCTTATTCAAGGCGCAACTAGATTTTCTTTGGTTTTCCTTGAAGATGTTTTGCTTCTCATCCAAGAAGTTTCTTCAGTTCTACAGTTCTTCAATTCAGAACTGAAGAAGCTTCTTGGATGAGAAGCAAAATCTCTTCAAGGGAAAACAAAGAAAGTGCAGTTGCCTCTTGAAAAACCGCCTTTGGGACAACCATGACCTGGATGACACAATTGTACAAATAAAGATTTTGCTTTTTTGCTTTTAATAAAATCTTTCCCCATTTCTCTCCCCTCCCACATTTATTTTGCTTAATAATCACCATCAACACAGATTTTAAAGAACTCAAAAGCTTGCTCATTATTTTAGGATATTTGGACAGATTCTAAGGAAAGTTTTGGTTTCTAGCAGTGTATGAATTAGATATTTTTATTTTTATTATATTTGTATGTATAGTTGCTTGTAGATGTCAAGGGTAACTGGCTTCTATCGCAGGTGCTGAGGGAAATACATTACAAATATGAATTTGGCAGCATTCATAGATATTATTTCTGTCTCTCAACTTCTAATTATTTCCATTTGGATTATAAGGTGTAATTGCTTTTTTTTTGTTTATTCATGTATTTGGTCAAAATCTCTTAGAATGTTTTTATAAAAGTCAAAATCGACCACTGCCCTTATGATAGCCTGCATTCAGCTGTTGGAAGAAATATCCTTCTGGGTTCAGTTCCAGGTAGGGAAGAAAGACACCGGAAACATGGTGACTTCTTGGGAAAATGGTTTAATAGTGGACAGGACCACCTGGCTTGGAGCTCCAAAGTGAAAATGACAACCACATGCTTCAAGATGTTGGGTGAAGGAAAAGAAAGAAGAGGCAAGATTCTGAAAGACCCTTAGTTTTACACCCTCTGTTGGGCCCCACCTTAGTGTTCCCTGTACCTGTGTAAGAAATGTATCCCATTGGCTGTCAAATTCCCAGAGGCAGGTTTGTAGGTTTTGTCTGGACCACATGACTTCACCTGAGTGCTAGCTGATGTAATCTTCCCAGGCCATGTGGTGAGATGGCTACCTTTGTTATGTAAAACAGTCTTATGTTGGTCTTATTTAAGACCAACAATTTTTAAGGAAAAAAGGGGGAAAGTGGGTTAAGCAGTGTAATAGGAAAGATGGGAAAAATATATGAAGAGGCAAAGCTATTTGATAGCTTTACCAACCCATTGCTTTTCTGAAGTTCTGTAATAGTTACTCATTCTATCCAGTTGCCTGGATGTAAACAAAATGAAATAAGATAGAATAATCAAAGCTCTTTTAAAGAAATGTCAAATATTCAGACCACAATCCAATGACAGTTATCTGGAAAGGATACAAGAGGAGATCTAGATGGACTTTAAATAATATGATATTAAAGGAAAAAGACTTTAAACAGAAAATAGAGAAAAAATTGGTTTTCTTTTTCAAAGAAAATAGAAAAGAGGATACTTCTTTACAGAATCTCTGGGACACGAGGAAGGCCTACACAAGAGGTTTGATAATTGACTATACAAGGAAAAGAAATATAAAACAGAAAAAGACTTTTAAAACTTTGGACGATGACTATAAAAGACTGGAAAAAGAGTTACAGAAGTTCCCACAAAAAAGGCATTAAGAATACAATGGATATAATTAAACATAAAATGGGATTAATGGAAAAAGAGGAATTAGCACAAAAAATTAAAAATGCTAAATAGAATTACTTTGAAGATGCAAACAAACCAGGCAGACGGCTAGCTTATAAATTGAGAAAGGAGAGAGAGTCAAGAAGGATTAATTAATTGATAAATGAAGAAGGACATGTTTGCCATGGAAATGAGCAAAAAAAAAAAATTATACAAGATTACTATGAAAACTGTATTTTCAAGAAGAAAAAGTTAAGTAATACTTACAGAAAGCGAATTTACCTCAGATACCTAAAGACATTGAAATAATGCTAGAAGGGAACATAATGATGATGGAACTAACAAAAGCCTTAAAAAAACAGAATGCTGGAAAAGCACCAGGTCCAGTTGGATTGCTATTGGAATTTTACAAGACTTTCCAGGAAATACTGAATCTCCATCTGTTAGAAGTTATGAATTAAGTTATGTTAAAGAAAAGAACACCCAAAACATGGTCAGAAGCATATATCACACTTATACCGAAGGAGGATACAGACCTGCAACAAGTTAAAAATTATAGACCTATATCTCTATTAAATTCAGATTATAAAATCTTCGCTTCAATTTTGGCAGAAAGACTGAAAAGATACTTAAATAATTTTATAAATGTTGACCAAAATGGATTTCTGCCAAAGAGGCAAATTAAAAATAATGTGAGAATAATCTTGGACACTTTGGAATATTATGAGGCACATCCAGAAAAACAAATGGCTTTGATGTTTCTAGATGTACAAAAAGCCTTTGACAACATGAGTTGGCGATTTATGTTATTGCAATTGGAACAAATGGGCTTTGGTAAAAAAATTATTCAAGCCATTGAAACGATATATTATGAACAAACTCCAAAGATTATGGTAAATGGAGAATTAACAGAATCCATAAATATAAGAAAAGGGACAAGACAAGGCTGTCCACTGTTGCCTCTGCTGTTTGTGTTAACTTTGGAAGTGTTGAATAGGAATATTAGAGAAGATAAAGAAATAAAAGGAATGAAAATTAAAAAGGAAGAGTCTAAATTGCAAGCTTTTGCAGATGATCTGGTATTTATACTATAGGATCCATTGGAAACAGCACCTAAATTAATAGAAAAGATAGAAGAATATGGAAAGGTAGCAGGTTTGAAAATAAATAAAGATAAAACAAAGATATTAACAAAAAATATGTTAGCAAGATGAAAGAAAGAGTTGGAAGAAGTTTTAGAAATACAGGTCACAAATAAGGTTAAATATTTAGGGATACACATTACACCAAGATGTAGTACACTGAAGGAGGACAATTATATTAAACTCAAATGGCAGATTGCGACAGATTTGACAAAATGGGAAAATTTACAAATATCATTGATTGAGAGAATATCTACAATTAAGATGAATGTATTACCTAGAATTCTGTATTTATTTCAGACAATTCCAGTCCAACTAGGGAAAGAGTTTTTTGAAAATTTAAACAGAATTGTGTTGAAATATATTTGGCAGGAAAGAAAGCAAGAATAAAACTTAAACTGTTACAAAATGCAAGAATTAGAGGAGGGTTTGCCTTGCCCAACTGGGAGCTATATTACCAGGCAACAAGTTTGCTATGGGTAAAGGAATGGATGACATTAAGAAACACTTGACTATTGATTTTAGAAGGGCATAACTTACTGCTAGGATGGCATGCTTTCCTTTGGTATAAGGGAACTTAAAACACAGGGGTACTTTAGAAGACATTATATTCGAGAGGCACTGTTTTTTGAACTGGGAGAAGACAAAAAGACAATATTATTTAAAAATTCCACTATGGATATCTACTATTGCAGCTTTTTCCTATCCAGTATTATATATATATAAAAAAAACAGTTAGATATGGTAAGATATTGAATGAAAAGGGTGAACTTAAATCTATGCAAGCATTGGAAGAACAAGGCGTAAAAATGAATTGGTTTTCATATTTGCAAGTACAATCTAGATTTGATAAAGATTTTAAAACAGAAGGTATTTATAATAAGTTGACTGAGTTAGATAAAATTTTGATGGGTACTGATGAAAAGGTAATTAAAAAACTTTATGGACATTTATTAGAATTTAAACTGGAAAAAGAACAAGTTAAAGAAGCGATGATTGCTTGGGGGAAAATTTTTGGATATGGGATTGATTTAGAGAAGTGGCAAAAATTGTGGTCTCAAAATTATAAAATGACAATGTCAACTGCATATAAAGAAAAATTGTATAAGATGTTTTACAGGTAGCATCTACCCCCGACGAGAATTGTGAGAATGTTTGAAATGTCATCAGATACCTGGCTCATATTACCATATGTGGTGGATGTGCTCGGATGCAAAAAAATATTGGAGTAAAATCCACACATGGTTGGAAAAAATGATAAAACAACACATAGACGTTAAACCAGAGATTTTTTTATTGGGAATTATACCGGAAATATACAAAAAGAATTGAAGTATTTGATTGTAAATGTTTTAACAGCAGCTAGAATTGTGTTTGCTAAGAATTGGAAAAATGATAATATATCTATGCAGGAGGAAGTTATAAAGAAAATTGTGGACTGTGCTGAAATGAGTAAATTAACATTTGAAATTAGAGAACAAGAAGATAAACAATTTTATATGATATGGGATTTGTTTTATCAATGGTTGGACAAAAAGACATAGTAATGTAATAGATTTGTTGATTTTGTAATAGGTTTAATAGATAAAATATAATATAGACATATATAACCATTGAATGAAAGTATGACATAAATTTTAAAATAAAATTTGAAATATCTCATATAGAGTGATAGAATAAATAGTTTGGTCATGGATGATTAATAATTGATAAACATATAAGCATATGTTAGCTTGATAATGTGGAAATTTATATAAATTGAGAAATGACTACAAAAGGATAGCACAAAAGATTTGTAACCAACTGACACACTGCATGTATATAAGATGGAAGATGGTTTTTATGTTTTTATGTTTTGTTTGCATATCTTTGTCTTAAAAAAAATAAAAACTTTTTCAAAAAAAAAAGTAAAATATTGAACTGCAGTGGTGGGTGTAGAAGAAGAAAAGTTTGCTGACATCTATTTCACTCAAGCATTTTGCTTTGCTTCATTATAAAGTTAGTTAGCTATATATGAATTTATTTTGCTACAAGAAAAGTAGATTTATGCAGGGACAGGAAAGGGCAAGAATCACAGTGGAGTGGGAAGGAGAACAAAATATATGCAGTTATTTTAGTCCAGATTAACCAAGGTTTTTGAAAAATATACAAAGCCAAAAAATAGTTATAGTTATTGGCTGTTTTCCTAGACTATGAAATTTTGTATCTTAAACATTTTGTATAACTTTAATGTATTATTCTTTTCCTACAAAAAATGTAAAAGAATAATGGGATTAACTTTCTGGGATTAACGCTGTGATTTAAATAAAATTTCAGATTGTTTTGGGGAATTCCGAAACTCAAAGTAAGATTACATTTTCCATGTAGAAGTGCCTGAGTTCAATCTCTACCCATCTCCAGGTAGAGCTGGGATTCTGGGAATGACTCCTACCAGAAATTGTTGGAACTATTCTAAACAATAGTGTCTCCAATGGACAATGATCCAAACATTGCCTACATTTTCAATTTGTTTTAGTTATATCACACCACCTTGACAACTGGGAGCAAGGTTTAAAGAAATTATTTTTAAAATATATTTATTTAGGAAGAATGGATAACAGTGGGAGATTTCAGATTATGAACATATTCTGCAGAATATATCTCTGTCTCTGTCTCTCTATTTTAGAGTAACAGTGTTGGAAGGGACCCTGGAGGTTGTCTAGTCCAACCCCCTGCTTAGGCAGGATACCCTTTACCATTTCAGACAAATGGTTGTACAATCCCTTCTTAAAAACTTCCAGTGTTGCAGTATACACAACTTCTGGAGGTAAGTTGTTCCACTGATTAATTATTCTAACTGTCCAGAAATTTCTCCTTAGATCTAGGTTGCTTCTCTTCTTGATTAGTTTCCATCCATTGCTTCTTGTCCTGCCTTCAGATATTTTGGAGAATAGCTTGACTCCCCCTTCTTTGTGACAGCCCCTGAGATATTGGAACACTGCTCTCATGTCACTCCTAATTCTTCTTTTCATTAAACTAGACATATCCAATTCCAGCAACCATT